TTATCAACTAGATTTCACATTGTTCATAATTTATGGAATATATTTTAAGTACTTGATCAAAATCTTTGGGCAAGTGCTAAATGTTCCATCTATTAAAAAAATATAATTTTGAAATAACGTTTTCAACTGTTCAATCAAAGCAAATAATAAAACACGTGTTTTTTCTGATCATTTTGTCAACACGAAGAAATTCTTCATTTGTTATTGTACTAGAATACAAATATGGAGAGTCAAATACTTATGATTCAGGAATGCGCCGCATCTCAAGACCTCGCGCCTTGTTCATTGAACTACCTTAACAAAATCTGTAAACTTAATGAATAAGACTTTCTGCGTACTCATCTCTCCTTGAGTGGGCAAGATAGGAATTGTTACTAATTTTAAGATCACTTTAGCAGCTTCTTCTTCATAGATCTTTCGTATAGGAGTGCTTTCATTAACAGCACGTTCTTTAACTACTTGTTTGAAAGTAAGAATTACTTTTTTTCTTGCTCAATTATGTGCGAGTGATCACCGTTGACATGCAAAAGAACATCATTTAAATCTGTGTGGGCGGTTGTTGTACATTCTCTATTTTCACGGCGATAATATTTTTTTTTGGTTATAATTTCGTTCAATCTAAATACGTAATTATCAATGACTAGCATTTGCTTCCCTTCTAGTGATGATATGAAGGAAATCTTATTTGAAAGACTCATATCTGTAGATAAAAATAAAATATGCATAATTAAAATCTATTTTCAATCTAAGAAATTCATGTAAAACATTTTCTTCGATTGTAACGAGTTTTCGTTTAGAAATATATGCAGCGAACATTGATACATATATATGAATGAGAAAAAACAAGAAATAACGGAATCCATCGTATTCTATGACTGTGTATCTATATATAGCGATACATATTGTACTGATAGAAGTGAACATTAACGCAATCATGGACCAAGGAAATGAGGACTATTTACAATAATTGAGACTGTTGACCTCTTTCATTAATATTGTCAATATTTTTCGACATTTTTCTTTTCTGCCTTTTTTCTTTTCGATGTTTTTCCATCCATTCGTTTCTTTCATTTCTTTTAACAAAACCATGTGACTTTCTTTTATTAATAATTTAATTCATTGAAAATTTAGTGTCTCATTCAACTCTCAAAGTTGAGTTAATACAAGACAGATAGTTATTGTTCGAGAAACATTCGAGCTCATTCGGATATCAAGTAGTTAGGATCTCGTTTGACTAATACATTTGTACATTACAAACTAGAGTATTAAGACGATGTCAAGTAGGAAAAAGAAAAATCAATATGTAGTGACTAGATCCTCGATCAAATAGCATCTAAATAAGAGAACATTGGTATTTTAATTTGTTGCAGCAATATCTAATCTTTTGTAAAATGTATTGGAAATCTCTACTATATGATAAAGATAGGAAATAAATCAACTTAATGACATCATAGATACGAAAAAGTTTCGTTATAAAAAGATAAGAGACAGGTGATGATAAGCATGACTTACTGGTTGATTAAGACATTATGTATCTATTGATATAAATTGTAACTTTAAGAATCCGTCACTATTGACAAACTATTACCTAAGTATTGAGTCAATAGAATCAAATTAAAATTTACTACCGATTAAATACAGTGCATTTTTGAAACAATCAAAGAACAAGTAAGACATATTTTACAAGACAGAATAAGTTTAAGATTCGAAGTTTCTTGCTGTTGAACTGGATTTGAATAACGAAATGATAGAAAATATCCTAGCTCGAATACCGAAACATTCCATTTTATTAAATCTGACTCGAACAAAAAAACTTACTTGACAGGTAACAGAAATCCGAAATCTTTTTTCTTTGCATTGCTTATTACAAAGTCATAAGAGATTTCAGCTTTTGGATAGAAGAAGCAGTTAAAATGGAAGAAAAATGAATAATTGTAGTATTGGGATAGGTTTCTTGTTATAAATCTCTCCTATTTTATACTAGAACATATATAAAGCAAGTTGGAATGAAATTTCTCCTGATGTCAATTTGTTTCTCTTGTGATTCATGTTCTCTTTTTCATT